GACGCCACCTGTGTTTCCATGGTGAGCGTCGGGTCCAAGTGTATGCCCAAGCTGCGGACCCCACTCTTTGCAGCCAGGGTCACCCCCCCCAAACGAGAGAGTCACCCAAGCCACCAGCCATGGGGGGCCCACCCTCAGAACTTCCGCCTTGTCCGGATTCAACCTCAGCCCATTTGCCTGCATCCATTGCAGTATGGTCCCCAGGCTGCGCTGAAGCGACAGGACGGCATCACCTGCAGTTGTTGAAAAAGAGATGTAGAGCTGAGTATCATCAGCATACTGATGACACAATGCTCCACACCCCCTGATGACCCCACCCAGCGGCCTCATATAGATGTTAAACAGCATTGGGGAGATAGTCGACCCCTGTGGAACCCTGCAATTGAGACTCCACGGGGCTGAGACACTCTCCCCAAGCTGTACTCTCTGGGGACGGTCCTCCAAGAAGGAATGCAGCCAGGCAAGCGCCAGGCCACCAATTCCCAACTCGGAGAGCCTCCCCAGGAGGATACCGTGGTCAATGGTATCGAAGGCCGCCAAGATGTCGAGGAGGACCAACAGAGACGTTTTGCCCGTCAGCCTCCCTCAACAGGTCATCATACAGGGCAACCAATGCCGTCTCTGTACCATGGCGCGGCCTGAAGCCCGACTGAAATGAGTCCAGGGCTCTATCCCCCCTAGCAGGGAACCAAGAACAAAACCTCTCTCTGGTGTTATTGACAGACAAATCGCCCAAAGGGAACTACTGGATGATAACCAGCCTTTTGTCACCTATATGATTGCTCTATTGTTTGCTAAGAAGATATGCCACTCTTTTGTGAAAAGGAAAAGCTCAGTGTAACTTAAAGGATTAGAGATGGCATGGTTTGGCAGATTGGGTCCACAGGTGTTGTCTGGTGGCCCCAAATTCTGCGCCCCACCTCCTCCAATTACCACCGTGTGAGAAGCAGTGCTGTGGGCTTCCCTGCTCTGCCCCATTTCCTCCTGTAAGTGGGGGTCCACAGGAGGGGGGGCATGGAATCCAGGGCACCTCCACAAAACCTACAAGCCCGATCTAACTAACTGTGCTGAACCATGCTGTGTCCATCTCTAATTAGAGTATTATTTTGAACCCTAATTTTTAATTGTTTATTTAACTCATACACTACCCAATTGTGTGAAATGCACTCTCTGGGTAGTTAACAACCAGCGTGTATAAACGCAGATAATACAGCACCAATTATAAACACTGACAAACAATCAATGATAAAATAAAGCCATACAACTCTCCAATCCCCTTTTTAGCTCTTATTTCAGTTCTTCTTGTATAAATTGACCACAACGTCCTTAGAACTCTGTTTAAATGGTACTTTTTAAGTATTGTTCTCCCCTTTGTAGTTTTATTTTCTTACGTTTTAACGTGTTTCATTGTGATGGCCTATGGTTAAATAGAAATAAAGTTACACGGTACACTTAGAAGGGAAGATAAAGTCTTACCTCCATCGCTAGAGCTGCTGTTTGCTGATCATAATGGTTCAAAAGGTTAGGCATAAACGTGCTGTTATATGGAAGATCCTGGCACATCCTCAAGATGATTGGCTCACAGGAGAACAAGCTGTGGCTACCTGTGCATCCTACGAGGACAGCCAAAGGCCAAAGACAATGGATCATCCAGTTTGCTGCCATCCTTCTGCAGGGATCATGAGTCTTCAAAATGGTGGGAAATTGTGCATCATTATCAGCACGTCAACTTTTCCTCCTGGACATCTTCAGAGACTGAGCAATTCCAGGCCCTGTGAGAAGCGAGACTAGTCCAACCAAGCGGGTACTTCATTTTGGCCTTTTGTTTCATACCACCCTATAGATTGTGTTAAGTCATTTGACTTAACCACATTCCCAGACAGACTCCATGTTGGCCACAATCTCTTCTGCTATTAAGGTATCTGAAAGTAAAAACATAATAAAGAGTTGTGAAATGGAAGCTTATAAATTATAAAATATATAGTACTGAACTTTCTCACTTAATTTCTGTTGGTTAAACTTCACTCATTCCCACTCTATCGTCCACAAGCCCTTCTGATGAGAAAAGGATATACAGATGGCTGCAATCCATCGCCCACCTGAGAAGTGACCTGTGCAAAGACCATTACCCAGTGCGGCCTTGTGGCTTCTTTATCATAGAATCATGAAGTTGGAAGGGGCTTCTAAGGCCATCGAAATCAACCCCCTGCTCGACACAGGAATACAAACGAAAGGATATCTGCCAGGTGGTCTTTATGTCCATGAATGTACTTTAATACTGAAGGGGTGCCAAATCTATTCTCATTCTGCTTCGGCACAATTAAGACTTCAATGCCATTCTATGTGACACTACAATGTTATGAATGATTCCTGGCCTTTCTATTTTAACTGCTCCATATAAAATTTGCTCTGCTGTGGACTTGTTTCACATGAAAGATAGGGAAGGTGCTACCGTGTTTCCCCAAAAATGTCAGGGTCTTATATTAATTTTTGCTCCAAAAACACATTAGGGCTTATTATCAGGGAAGGTTTTATTTTTTTTCATGTATAACCACCTACATTTATTCAAAAACAGTCATGTCCTCTTCTTGTTGCTGCACAAAGGTGGAGGGCAAGGCTTCACTTAACTGGGGCTTACTTTTGGGGTAGGGCTTATATTATGAGCATCCTGAAAAATCATGCTAGGGCTTATTTTCAGATTCGGTCTTATTTTCGGGGAAACAGGGTAGCTCCCTGACAGTATGTTTAGCAATAATCTAGAAAGAAACTTGAGTTAACTAGTCTATGACTAAAAATGTTTTTCATTCCAAATATATATATATAAAGCAAAAAGGCTGATTAATACAAGCGTGTATGTTTCGGAGTGGTGGTGAAAACGTTAAGCAAAGCTGAAGAAGGAGTGTAGGGTACAGCCTTTTATTATGTCACATCAAGTCACTTCTGACTTACAATGACTCTATGAATGAGTTACCTCCAGTGGTTCCCAACCTGGGGTAAACCAAGTGCTCTTGGACTGCAGCTCCCAGAAAGCAAAGCAAAGTATGCGTATATACTGCCTTGTAGTGCTTAAAGCTCTCTGTGGGTGGTTTATAATTTATTTATGCAGGTTACACATTGCCTCTGTGCCCAGTGAGCTGGGTATTCAATGTATTGTCCTCAGAAGGATGGAAGACGGTCAACCTCAAGCTGGCTATTTGTTTATTTATTTCTGATGGCATAGCAGAATATAACATTATCGTGTAAGATTTCACAAAAATATAAAATATGGATAAAATGTAAAACTTTAAAAAAATTCTATAAAATTTTTAAAACACACAATACGAATAGTGAATAATTACTGAAATAAATTATGTATGATCAGTTGCTAGAGCAACTAAGCCTAAGGCTGGATATCTAAATCATTTAACCATTGAACAGCAGTGTTCTCAAGAGGATGTAATTTAATGTCTCAAAAGAGCCAGACAGTGCATTGATGATGGTGACATGTCTTCTCCACTGTCTTTCGGTATTCTCTGACACAATGTGTTTTTATCTAAATATCTAAATAGTATGTGCTTTTATCTAAATAAATAATAATCTTCCTGGTCATTGGCCATAATAAATAAATAAAAATTAAATATGATGTAAATATTGCAGGGAGCCTGGGAACCTTCTAAGGGCGCATTCTGTCACAATGTGACATAAAGTTTGCAGAACATACCCACAGTCACAATTTTTTAAATTTATTTAATCATTCATTCGTTCATTTTTTTAAAAACTTGTATGCCGAACGCACCCTGCAAGAGTCTCCAGGCAGCTTCCAACATCAATTAAAACAGTTCAGTTAAAAACAGGCACTAAAAACCAATACGGCCACATCCATTCTACAAAAGCAAAAATAAAAACAGAAACAGAAAACAATTAGGATTATTGGCCAACCCCCATTTACGTTTCCAAGATTGACACCTGCTGTGGTTAGTTCGGATCTGGTTAAGCATTATCCAGTTTTCCATTGGGAGATCAAAGCCATAAGGGCATTTTGCTGGACAGGACCCAAAGTTAAACAGATTTGGATTAGAAGTTGCCCACAACTGTCACCATGCAGTTTCAGTGTCTAAATTAAGGGTCACTCCTAAATATTTTGGGGGTTACATCTGAACTTTAGCAGCTGATTCCTAAATTCCACTTTTGGTGTATAGTTGGCTTGTATGTTGCTTAAGTGAAAGCAAGCAATCTTGGTTTTGGTGATGTTGGGATTTAGCTTCCAAATTTCAAAAAACCAATCCATTTCCTTTAAATAATTTTGAGGGCTTTTCCAAAGGTACCAAAGACTTCAGACTGTTTGATCAGTGTAATATAATCAGCTTAAAGGTCTCTCTGGGTGGCTGACAATTTAATTATGCAGGCTACACATTGCCTCTGCCCCCAGCGAACTGGGTACTCAATGTACTGACCTCAGAAGAATGGAAGGTGGAGTCAATTTTGAGCTGGCTAACTGAGTTTGCGATCAAAATCAGTCATGAGCAGAGACATCACTGCAGTATTGCAATTTAACCACTGTGCCATGAGGCTTCTAGACAGCACAGCCGCTGGTGAAGGCTTATGAAAACTGCAGTCCAAGGACACCTGGGTTACACTAGGTTGGGAAGCATTGGCCCAACCCATGGCATTATTGCAGAATAAGAAAGTAAGAACAGCCCAGCTGGGTCAGAATAAAGGCCTAGTCCAGCACCCTGCAGCATCACAGATGCTCATGGAAAATGCACAAGACAGCAACCAAGATCAGAAAAGCTCTTTGATCCAAGAGGCAGCACACAGCCAACCTGATTAGTAAAGGACACAACATTCATGGATCAAAAGTGTTCCACTGCAAATGGTAGATTATGATTGAAGATCCATGAAACTACATTTGCCAATGAGTTTCCAGTGAAGAGTAAACGCTTTCACTGGTTGTGATTCCTTCCAGCCATAAATCTGATGCTCACAAACCCACCTTGTATTTAATACTTCCAAACATCCTTCCCAAAAGTCAAGTTTATAGGTGAAGCACTGTCCTCCCAATAATGTAGCTTTATGGTAGAAAATGAAATTTGGCAAAAAATAAAGTAGTTGGCACCTCAAGGCAGCCTGATAGGCGCCATCTGTGCTACCTACAGGGCATCAGGCCCACCAATTAAAAGGAGAAGGGCAAATTTTAATCCAAGATTGTTAGTTGATAAAAACCACCACTTAATCGAGTGCAGCCTCCACCCTTCAATAATCATTTATGCTGCTGATACCATCATGCTTATTTGAAATCTAGAAGCTTGATGAAAAATTCAGTATTTCCAGTCAACACTAAACTTTGGATTAGTGCAACCTGGCACTGATGAAGCCTTGAGCAGCTAACAATAAATCCATAGAAAAAGACGCTCTGCAATTATTCATTAGCCTTTACATTGTAGCAGGTTAAAATTCAATTTGCCATGCACTGTACAGACATAGGGTAGAAAATCTTTTCCAATCTAGGGGACCAATTAACAGTATCGTTATGAGGAGATGTGCCGTTAATTGCATATTTTAATTACATCCAACTAATTTCCACATCATTTTGACAAACCCAGCAGGTGCTAAAATAGAGCTGAGTAGAGATACCTTGCACATTATTTTTATTCTCCATCTTTTTTACCCTCAAACAGGGATGACAGAACTGTTTGAAAGTTCTTGAGAGACAGCAGCAGCTCCACTGGGGAGACCATTTTTTATCAGAAAAGCAGGGAGGGGAATTATTTAGGAAGCAAACAAACGAAGTACAGTAGATGCTTGTGACCATGCAGAATTACATTACACCAGTGACCACTTTAGCCTGACCTACTCTGTCTGACAGCAGCTCTCCAGGGTCTGACTTGCTTAACTGGAGGTTCTAGGAACTGATTCTGGATCTTCCTGCTTGCCAAGCCTATGCCTCACCATGGAACTGCAATGATCTCCACACACACTGTGTACCATGGAGGAGAAGCTCCTTTGCAAACAAAATAGTGTAAAGAAGGAAGGATTATTAGAAGGGTTCAAATTTGAGTGCTGAACGGAGATACCTATGCAGACTGACTGTTTTGCATGTCCTTGACAGAAATATTATAAAAATAGAAAGTGATTTAGAGGCCAGAATCCTCCCAAATGCCAGCACAGTGATCATAATACTCTGCCTGCACAGTTCCTGCTTTATTTCCTATGGGGCCGTTGTGAAGGAGGTGGTTGCCCACTGCAACTTCTACAAGGAGATACTGGGTATATTTTTAGCCAGACTTCCAGAATTTCAAACAAACAAACATACAGAAAGAACCACTGTGCATTTCCAGATGCAAAGTCACACAGGGAGCAAGAGCCCTGTCTACAGATCAACTTGTCAGGGCAAGTGAGGGTGAGCCTCTGGAGAAAGAGAACTCGTAGCCACCACCAGTCTCTCAGTCTCACTCTGGGGAAAGCAAGGAACAGAAGTAAACTCCCTGTCTTCTCCTCCTCCAGAATTTCAGTTCACGCAAGGTAAATCTCTGCCTCCCCTTCATATCTTTCCACTGCACTTGTGCAAATGGACAAAGTTAGTGCAAGAGAAAAAGGATCTTGGCTAGTAAGACTGTGTGTGCAGAGCCCTCTATGAAGCGCTCAACTCAAATCTGAAGCTCATATGCTGGCCAGGGAGCTTCGGCACATGTAGCCACAGTGGCTTTCCCAAAAGCCCGTCTTCCAAATTTCAAAAGCTCTCTAAAATAATCTGCTTTGATCTCTGCACGTGTCCTCTTCTTCAAGGAAAGAGGGTGGTGGTGGTCAAAAAAAAAAAAAAAAAGCACAGT